AAGAAAAAGTCCGAAAGGAAAAGAACAGGCTATGAGGATAGTTGGATAGTTCACATGATGAAGGAGGAGTCTTCTGTAGAAGGACAGAATGTCCAAACAATATCAATACCTCTGCAGCTGTCCCTATATTTCCTTTTTACCCAAGCTGAATGCTGGCTCTGCCATGAGATTTCATGTAGGCTCTTCCACTCTATCTGTGCCTCAGTTTCCTTAACTACGAAATATGGATGATACCCTCTAAAGCTTGTAAGAACCATGTGAGTAAATTGAAGAACGCCACTCCCCATGGTTGTCAGTGTGCTTGTTACTCTTATTGCTGGCTTTATGGGGGCTCATGATTTACAACACAGATTCTCCTTTTCTAGTGCATGAAGACACTTTAGTATGCAGGACTAAAGAATTAGTATGAGACTGAATGTCCAACCTTCAGTAGGTATGTGTTGAAATGAATCATCGCCAGGATGCACAACTAGTGTGTTTCTGAAGTACCACAGAACCCAGGAAAAATTACTCTCATTTTCCTTTAAAAAATAACTTTAAAACTTAGGAGGAACTGAGCAGTGCCTTACTCCGGGGTAACATGCAGCCAGGAACCTACAAAATTTTCTGTGATCAAAAACTTGTTTGTTTCAATCTCTGTCTAAAGAAGGAACTCTGTGAATATTGTGCTACTGATAACATCTAGGGTAACACATTGGAATGCATAATACCAAATATCAACAGTTCTATATCTTAACAATAGAAAATGTGACCCCTGTGTGAATCATCTCTGCATGTTTAGCACAAGACTTTACCCATTCGAAAATGACCAGTATGGATACCTTTGGGAATTCTTAACAGAATCCATTAGTCATTTGGTTCCTGCTCTTTGGGGTTGCTCTTCCTCTCCTGCGCAACATGGCCATCTCTTCGGTTCCCTTTTTGAATTTCCTTTAGCATTAGAATATTGAAAATTCATCTATTAGTCCTTCCTGGTGGCCATAGCAACACTCTGGCCAGCATCCCAGAGCTAAAAAGAAATACCCTCGAGATGGTTTTAGCCTACTCCTTCATAAGAAGCTTCCTGTTGCCTAACATCAGATCCTTCAATTCGGTGATTCATCTAACATCATTAAGAACAGTGTGAAGGTGTTTGTTTTCCGGATGTGGTAAAATCTCTTTATTGTTCCTTTACTGTTCTGAGTTACATGCAATGGTAATATCCAGAGTCATTAAACAATTCAAGCTAGACTACTAGATTAAATTCTTATAACAGTGAATAGGGCTTTGGGGGTATTTGTGTTGTTAGTTTTAGAGGTATTTTGGTTTGCTTTGGTCTGTTTTGAGTTTTTTCTCTTGAATTTGCTCACAACCTGAAGAAATAATACCATATTTAATCTAATAATCCAAGAACAAGGGACAAGGGTTGCCAGAGATCAGCCTTTCCTCAATTCCCATTGGGTCCAATTTGGTGAAAAAAAATAGCAGTTTTTTTCTTGATATGGTAGTCTTGCTGGATTGAAAGACTTCCTACCTTTTTTGATTTTACTTTCTTCTTCTGTGTGTGTACATGTGTTTACATGTCTGTGTCTGTGCTCTGTGCATGCACAGTTGTAAGTGTATGTGCACGTGCAGCCAAAGGTCAATTTCTGTAGCCTTCCTCAACTGATCCACACCTTGTTTTTTGAGACAAGGTGTCTTATTGAACCAGAAGCTTGCTAATTCTACAAGAATAGAAGACCAGCAAGCCCCAGGAATCCTCCTATCACTAGTTCCCCAGTACTGGGAATATAGGTGCACGTGACTTGCCCAGGTTTTTTTTTTTTTCACATAGGCACTAGGGATCAAACTCAGGTCATTCTTAAATGACATACCTTTCAATGACTAGGCTACCTCTCCAACCTCCCTTCCTTTACCCTTCATTTCAAAACTTCTAAAAGAGTCCATCAATCCATAAGAGCAACTACTTTGATCAATTGAGAAAAAAGGTCCTCCTTTGCCCAGTATAAATTATAAGAAAAAATAACACCAAAAATAAAGGCAATATGGGAATCACGTATCTTCAACATACCTTCAGCAAAGCTGTCTGTGCACAATACAAGTACAAATGACAGAAATGAACAGCTAAGATGATGGATCTGTGCACCCACCATAAAGTGCTGACTTTATGTAAAGACTTACTGTCTAAAAACATGAGCTCTCAGAGTCCACTTTGCTATAGGCCCCACCACAGTCTACATTGATGCCAAAGAATGAACAAAATAATATATGTGAACAAAATCTAGATTCCTTCTCTTGCCAGCAGCTCTCCCATCAGGCTTTGCCTGTGGAAACACCCCTGAGCTATCCATTCCTGATGGATTGCTGACAAGTGTATTCATATTCTTTGTTAGGCACACAGAACTCTGAGAACTTTGGATGATATTATCCTGGGATTCTCGGGGAATATATGTAAAAATAAAGTTTTAAATTTCATGTGTTCTAGCATGAAATAAGTAACTCACCTCAGAGTAATGGAAATGGAGATGTTTCCAGAAAGAGCTGACCCTAGACTATTGTTATCTATAATCCATTCATAGAATTTATTGTCAAAATGGGCAAGTTCACAGCTTACCTTTTAATGGCTGGTAACCCACTTGGCCAACTATATATTCTTGGATATGTGTTGACGTGTTTTGTGTGTGTGCCTGTGTGTGTCTGTGCTCCAGCATATTTGCTCAGGTCACACTGATGTGTGCATGTGAGGCAAGAGGTACAAATTCAGATGTCACCCATATTTAGGTTTGCTTAGTTTTGTTTTGTTTTGATGCAGGATCTCTCTCTCATTGGGTCCTGGGATCACCAGCAAGCTTCAGAAATCTGCCTATCTCTACCCCAAGGGCCAGGGTTACAAACATCTGCAACCAAACCATGCATTTATTTGTTTGTTTGTTTTAATCTGGATTCTGGAGATCAAACTAATGTCCTCATGCGTGCAAAGCAAGCACTTTACTGACTGATCTAACTCCCCAAACTAGGCATCCTTTTCTATGTAAATGATAGCTAACTGCGAACATCTCAGGCTCTGCATAACTGAAGTGAAGCTTAAAATGAATGAAAATAATAGACATGACCTCCTCACACGGGAACATAAAAGTTCAGGAAGTAACCAACACAGAGTAGAACATGACCAAACTGAGGAAAGTTTCTGTTCAAGAAAGCTTGGGTAAAACAAAAAGTGCCGCTGTGCCTGAAATCTCAGTGCTGAGGGAGTTCAGGCAGGCACACTTCTGAAGCCCATTGGCCCAAGTGCCAGCTGAATTGATGAGCTTTATATTTTCTGAGAGACCCTGTCTCCAAAATTGACCAAGGAAGGTGGGTGGCATCTAGAAAAGACATCTACTGCAAACTTCTGCTTCCTCATGGCATACATGTGCACGAACACCTGCCCACACATGTGCACAGACACCCCCACTAGCAATTACATGTAACACAGAACACACAAAACACATGGAGAGACAAGGTGAGACCTGGAAGGGAGGAGGGTGGGGCTGTGGGTCACCAATGAAGGAGGCTCTAATATAATTGGTAAATGGAGAGAAGAGCATTGGTGATGCAGTTTCCCAGTTCCTTCTTCAAAGAAACCGATTAGAGTGACTAGATCTGTCAATTAAGCCCAAAACCATGGAACTAAGAGCATGGACGCCAACTTCTGAAATGCTATGGGGTCACTATGTAGTATGATTCAAATTGTTGCCCCCAATCAATCTTACCCTCAATTTCCTCATCAGCAAAATCAGAATAACCTCTGTGTGACTTGCAAAGCACAGCTAATTAACATTTATGACAAATGAGGAATTATATAACAGATTATGTAAATACATAATAGCACCAAGAACCAAACTGCTTTGCCTATAGCATTTAAATTGAAAAGAAATCTGAAAATACAAAAAGAAAAAAAAAGCAAGTGTGGTAAAATAAAATAAAAAACAAACAAATGAAAATGAAAATGCTGTTAAGGACAGAGGTCTGGGGTAAGTGAATACCCCTCCCCAAGGGCTGTCTATAGGTATGAAAACTCTACAATGGCATATACTTTATTTTATAAACATCATGCCAAATGCTCACAGTTGATTCTAGACAAGCAATGAAGCTGGCATTCACCTCTTGAGAGGATTCATGAAATCAGGTAGCTATGCTAAGTATGAAAGCTCCTTTGTTATATTCCGTTGGAGTCATGTCATTGTTGTCTTCATTGTTTTGACTAAAGGTCATTCATTTAACACCAGAATCTCTTCCACCACAATTTTCAAAAGCTCATACATGGTAGTTGAGCATTTATATTTAATAATTAAGAAAAGCAAATGTGATTCAATTTGGTACAAAAGAATCAAATGACCTTGAGGGGGTAAAAAGGTTGATCTGAACTCAAGGCATTGTTTTGAGTCTCATGTCCTACTGTGCCTCACCAATGCTCTGTTATTATCAGTGTTGACTTCACTTAAGAAAGGAGGGGAGACATTGCTCAGAGAGAATAAAGGACTCCTCAAGGTCACAGGGGCAGACAAGCTAAGTGGGAAAGATGTGCGTCAGAAACTGGAGACTGGAGACACATGCCGCCTGTGTTTGCCACTTCACCATTCTTTCCCACCCCCAGCCTCGTGGTGTGTGTGTGTGTGTGTGTGTGTGTGTGTGTGTGTGTGTGTGTGTGTAACTTCTGGAAGACAGAAGTCAGCATCAGACGTCATTCATCAGGATGCTGTTCACCTTGTATTTCTGGGACAGGATGTTTCTCTCACTTGCTGTTTCTGTTGGGCCAGCGAGTGGGTCAATAATCTACCGATTTCTGCCTACTCAGTATGGAGGTAACAAGACTGAACTACCATGCTGCTATATATGTTTTGGACATTGAACTCAGATCCTCACATCACATGGTAAACATAAACCAAGCTATCTCCTCAGCCTACTCTTTGAACTTTGATCAGTCACAATACTGGTTTTCTCCTAGGAAATGTGGGTGCTGAGAGTCACATTGTATGCTTTTTTTTCTTTAATGCTTCATGAACTTCTGTGCCATCCTTGTGCAGGAGCCATGCTAATCTCTACATTGTTCCAATTCCAGTATACGTGTGCTGAAGAGAGCACCATTGTATTGTTCTAATTCTCTTTGTGCATCTCTGAAACGGAGAATCATTCTAGCATGATGATGTCCTGCCCGACAATGAAATCATGAATATGACAATAAAACCAATGAAATACTGGTATGTCTTAACAGTCACAGGCCTTGGAGTACATAGACAGTAATGATTGCAGCTCTGGCGAGAATATGTGAATGTAGTATAGACGTGGAAAGGCTGTGTGGGCAAGTTATCAGCTGGATAATTCTCACCCTCCAAGGAGTTCCGTCAGGAAATTGGAATGTCCTAGGTGGTGAACGTAAAAGTTATTTAGGTGTGACTGTCATTGTGGATTAAATGAGAAATGTCTTCTATAAACTCATATGTCTGAGTAACTTGGTGGTCCCCAGGTGACTGAGCTGTTTGAGAGATCGTGAAATTTAGTTTATTGATTATCGCTGGAGGGAGTAAGCTGCTGGAGTTGATATTGAAAATCTATAGCCTTTTTTATCTCCTTTGCAGTTTGCTCTCTCATATTCCTGTGTGTGGTTAAGATGTGACCACTCAGCTTCCTGCTCCTGCTGCTATGCCTTCTCCACTCTTATGGAAATCTAGCCCTCTGGAAACATAAGCCAAAACCGAAAAACTCTTCTATAAATTGTACTGGCTCATGATATTTCATGACAGCTACAGAAGTAACTGGCATAGTGTTGTACAGTTCAAGCCCCAAGGTTCTGGGGGCTGAGGCAGAAAGACCACAAGTTCAAGTCTAAACTGGAGTGCATGGCAATAATCTGTCACCAGAAACAAAGGATACATAAAGAAAGGAATAAGGGAATGGGGAAGTAGTGAATGGGGGAAGGAAGTAGAGAGTGGGGGAGAGAGGAAATCAAAAGTAAAAATAGCCACATTTTGCTATAGTCTTAATTATTAGAATGCATAGTTATTAAATGTAATAGCTTTAAAATACTTAGGCAGGAATGGGGAACTGGCATCATTGGGTCAGTGCAAGCCAAACAATCAGAAGTTTTACGGAATGTATCTTGGAAGTCTATTATTTAAATCTGAATTCTATACTGACTTGTCATCTTGATATTTTTGACAAGTGCGTGTAAGAATTTTTGACAGTAAGGAAGTTTCCAATATATTTTTACTATATAAAAAATAAATGTAAAATACATAACTGTGTTTCTAAATTGCTACTGTTTATTTTAAGAAATAAAACATTCATCATCTTAAAACCCTTCACTTCTGAGCACTGATTGCTGTGTGCTAGGAGTGAGGGGAGCAGCGCAAATTACAGTCGATCCGGCAGCAGGGAGAGAATGCAGCTGTTTTTAGTTCTGCTTCTGCAACATCCATGGTGGAATTCAGAATTTACTGAGAGCTGGCTTTTCTCATTTTACTGGCAAAGGAATTGTAAGCTTAATTACTCTCAAGGGTCTTCTGTAAATTATTTCCATAGATCTGGAGAAAGAAGATGGCAGAAAATAAACATTCAGCCTCATTGCTTTTGTAATGAAGAAAAAAAAATCACCCCCACTGAACTGTGCTCTCTATCCACACCCAGACCTCTTCTGGGGTTCAGGAGGGTGGAGAGACCCTCCCTGATTCTTGCACGCATTGCTTGTCTCTTGAAAGTCTTTTCCTCTCTCTCTCTTTTCTCCCACTCTCCACCTGGTATATTTATTCACCCTGTCTGAGTAGGCCTGACCCGCATAGTTCCTTTTTCTCTTCATCTCCCCCATACAACTGGCATCTGCATGCTTGGAAAGACCTCCGTGTTCTTCCACCTTGCCTTCATTCAGTGATGAACACTGGAGCTATCGGAAAAATCATGGAGACAACCGTTAGTAAACTAGTTCATATTCCCACCCCTTGAAGGGAGAGCCAGCAGCATAATCATAGCTGACATTTATTGACTGTTTGCTCTGCCATTTATTTCATTTAGACCCCTTACACGCACTGTGAGAAGGCATTATTCTAAGTATTTGTAACGCAGACCTCCTTGATGTGCTGGAGATGACAGCATCTTCTAGCCAAACTCAGGCTGTCTGACCTCAGGGCTCACACTTTTACCCATTTGCCATGTTTACCTTCCATAAGAATTTGGGGCAATAGGGGAGAATATGTAGTATAATTTAAAGATAAAAGGAGGGAGGGAGGATCTGGGGAGGGAGGTAAGGAGGAGAGAGGAAAAAAGAATGGATCAGGAAGGTTGTGAGTGATGGACCACCTTATCTTTGGTCACCTCAATCAATGAAACAGGAAATACAATGTTTTGACACGTGACTCTCTCCTGAAGTTCCGACTGACACACAAACTCATATTTTACATCTGATGCTTTGATGCCCTCGTCAAGTGCATTGAAGACATCAACCAGAGTTAATGTCAAGTTGTCTTATAAAATTAGCTCGGTTCACGGAAGCAGTTGAGACGGACAGTGCTCCAGGGTAGGCGAAGGCAGTAGTAGTGAGAGTGTGGTCCTGCCTAGTTCAGAGAGGCCCCCTTGACGTTCACTCAAAAAGAGCTCTGAAGCTTTTCCAAAAACAACCCCACTATGGCAAGTGTGTGGGAGACGTTTGCATTTTGCAGAAGGCCAGCAATCCTGCTGAGGAATTATATGGTTAATGTGCTAGAAAAGCCTTCATAAACTGCATTTCCTTTTCCAGCTTTCCAGCCTCCCACACCTGGGCTTGCCAGGTTCTTGTATGAACACAATGGCCTCACTGGCACCATTGGATTTCATTGCCAGTGAAAAAGCAACAAACCATGTCATAACCACCCACCATCTCTTTGAAACCCACCCAACTGTTTGGACATTTCAACCAAGCATAGCATCTCCTTTATGTCACAAGGAGACCAGGTGGCTGCAGAGCCATGAATGGCACACAGCCCGTTCTCTATTAACCCCTCCTCCAGTAGTGCTTAACTCCCTTGTTCCATCTTGTTCTTTGTCCTTCTCTCTATTCTAATTGAGAGTAGGGTGAGTACATATGGAAGTGGGATACTTTGCACTCTACTGTCCTAATGTTAGATCTAAAAAGACCCTAAGAAAAATATTGAGCATTCCTCAACCCTTGTAGCTGACTGAATAGGAAAGCATGATATAGGGAAATACCTATATAATAGATAGCATGAGGTACTGTTTGGTTTTTACTGCTTTATCACAATAGAGAAGTTGTTTATACTGTCAGGACTCTGGACAGCTCATGGATATACCCGTGAGTTTATTTAGTGTTGTTTGTTTGTTTTACCTGGGATTTTTTATTATTATTTAGTGCTTTTTCTTTGAGATCCAATGCTGTAGGAGTAAAAATACTCTCTTATTATCTTGGGCTGCAAACACTAATGGAGATTCAGTAAAATCTTTAATTAAGCACTAAGTGCTGATGCATAGAATCTGAAAGGAGCTAATGTTTGCACTTAATATTAGCATTTATTTTCTTCTAATGAACATCAAAGTAGGTGTACTGCAGCATAAAATGGTAAGAGATAAATGACTTCATATTAGAAAAACAGGAGGCCTCTCCTAAGGATCAACAAATGGGTGAAAACAGGCTGCAAAGGAAGGAAACCAGTTTAACTGCAAGACAACTTAAACATCAGTTCTTGGGTTAGGGAGATGGCTTTGTGGGAAAGCACTGGCGCATGGGAGGACTTGAACTCCTAGCCCAGTACTCATGCAAAGGTCAGATGCCTAGTGTGAATATCTGTAATCGCAGTGGTCCCACAGCAAACTCAAAGCTAAAGACAGGGAGTTCCCAGAAGCTCACAGGCCAGCCAGCCTGATAGAAACTGTGATGAACATGAGACTATGTCTGGAATGAGGGGAATTCCAAGGATCAACATCCCAGGTTATCTTCTGACCTCTATCTGAGCACCATGGCATGCTTGCATCCACATTTACACAAACATACAAACACATATGCAAACACACATTGTAAAATAGTAATAAGTTTATACATGCAAATGTTGTATCTGTTGCTAGGTGCATGTCAAAAGAGCAAATAACACAAATAGACAAATATTTGTCAAGAGTTCAGTAAGGAACGGGATGAATAAGAGGCATACCATAGTATAGCATAACAACATAACACGACAACATAAGGTAAACTGAGGCGGACACCAATTCAGGGGCAATATAGCATGGATTTGATGGCTTTGACTAAATGGCAAGCTAAAAACAGAAATTATCACGAAAACCAAGAATTTTTTAAAGCCTCAGAGTCATCATTGACATTTTCTGTGGTTATCTGGGGGCGTGATCTTTGTGTACTTAAAGGAGATCTTGGTTTGAATTCTGGAAGGGACTGTTTTTTGACAGCTCCAACTCAGAAGTCTGATTACAATTCAGATGTACGAATGCTTGGGGAAAATCTTTTATGTAAATTACTGTCACCTAATATTAGGCTAAAACAGGAAGATAAATTCAGAGAGTGAACGCATCCAAATTTTCAGAATTGAAATGACCCATGACATCTTTTCTGACAGCATTTCTCATAGCATGGAGGATGTGTCTGTATTATTACCATTTCGGTTAACATTACAGAAGCTTTGGAACTTCACAAGTCAACAGTTAATTTGACTTACCAGTGGTAGAAAAGGGAAAAGAAACAGTCCTGACAGATGTATCCCATGGAAGCAAAGTGCTGAAAATTAAAGAATGCCTAGAATGTTCCTGTCAGATCCCATTTCCCTCACAAAGGCCTTCACATAGATGAACAATTTCAGGGTGTTCTGCTTATAAATAGGCTACTTCCCAGATGCTGAGCTGAGCCAGAACCCAGGGCTAGCTCCGGGTTTAAAGACTAATGAGAAGGGTAAATCAGATCTGCTTAAAACTGCCCTCTCTTACGCTGAACCAAAAAGTACCATCCAAGAGATACACAGGGGATGAGGCTGCGTGAAAGAGGCTCTGCCTGCCTAGTTATTCACAAGGAAGCAGAGATGCTCCCACAGTACAAGGGAAGTAAATTGTTTCATTTAGTGCAGTTCAGATCCTCTGGCTGGTTCATCACAGTAGAAGTGTGGTTGCTTTCACACCCCTATCTGTTACCAGCCAAAGAGATCTACATTCATCACAATTACTGACTCCATAGGTTCCTGTGCTCGAGCATCCAGACCCAGCTGGGAGTGATCTTGAGATCTAGCCGAACAGAATAGACTGCTAGGAACAGATCTTGAGGTTCCTTAGGGTGACCCCACTTCCTGTCCTCTCTCCTTCCAGACTGCAGGCATAATTCAACTAAACCACTCCACTCCCCTGCTGCCCTGCCTTCCCTGCCTTGCTGGATCATATACTCTAGAATTGAAAGGCAAAGCAGAAACATACAAAGCAAATTAACCAAAAGAGCTTATCCCCCTTCAAACTGCCTCCTGTCAAACATTTGGTCCCAGCCATAAGAAAGGTGAAGAGTGCTCTGAGAGTACTCAACTCTCTTCTTTGGAAACCGGAGCTACTGAAACTTTCACTGCATCTTCCCCAACAATGACCACAATAGACTAATCGAGCCCCACCTCAGTTTAGAAGGATGTCAGAACATATGGCTCTCGCCAGCATACCTGAGAATATCCAGACCCTTTGGGACCTACCACCGTGACAAGCTTCTCAGGCTATTGGTTAGGGGTCGATAAACATTTATCCCGAAAACACTGGAAAGCTTTATGCAAGCACTTGAAGAGCCAAAATATTCCTATTCCCCAAGTGCATAGGAGCATGTCCTCAAGCCTTCTTCCTGCGAGTCATTCTATGGAGAGCAAAACCCACGCTGCACTGGAAGCTGCCGGGATGAAATGATATGCACAGGGAAGATGAGGGCACAGTGCTGAAGGCAAGGGTAAGAGAAGAGGGCGTGCAGAATATGGGAACAGCAGCCGGAAAGCCAGAGCACAATATGAGATGCAGCTAGCGAGAGAAACAAAGGGCAGCCAGACAATATTTCACAAATACATTAGGAACAAGACAAAGGGGAATGTAGACCCACTAATTAGAAGGGAGGGAAAACAAATAGCAGATGCATCAGAAGGCTTGAGCTTTTAATACCTATTATGCTCTAGGCTTCACAAAAATGGTTAGCTATCATCAGAAGCTGAATATAAACCACAGTAATGAGCACATGGGGAAAGGGGGGGGTTAAATGGAAACCAAACAGATTAGTAACTACTTAGTCAAGCTGGATGGTTTCAAATCAGGACCTGACAAAAGTCACAGTACCATGTAATAAAAGGAGAAAGAAAGAAAGATAAAGAAAAGAGGGAAAGTAGCTTCTGAAATTTCAGTTCCCGTTAAAAGTGTTCTTGAAACTGGGGGAGATTTCAAATGAGTAATTAGGAAGCAGGGGCACAGGGCACACCACTGTGGGCGAGAGAGAGCAAGACATGACTGAAAACAAGAGTTTGAATATTTAGAGAAGAAACTGTGGTGCCTTCTACTGTGGGAGAGTCCCAGTGAGTTTGAGAGGGAA